TATGATGGCCGAGACAAAAATGTGAATGTCCCAGTGTGGAGCCGATGTTTGTCCTGGGCTACTGTACAAACATGGAGGTGCAACATGGTGACCTCAATAGACGTAGATATATACAGTTCATCCTGAGGTAACAAAAACCCAATGATTCATATATTCAGGTGATTAAACACTGCTGCTGACTCTATAAGAAGTTTTTTTTTTTATTTAATCTTTATTTAATCAGGCAGTCTCATTGAGATCAAGATCTCTTTTTCAAGAGAGACCTGAGAACAAAGCAACAAAGTCTCATATTGCTTGTTGCACCAACTGTCAGAGTTGTGTCCTCTTTCCTGGTTGTTGACAGTCATGTGCTCACTGAGGCTGCAAATAGCCACCTATAGAAAATTTACATGTTGGTTTGCACATGGATTAGATTAGACTCACTTTCATGGTCATTGCACAGAGTACAGTCACTGAGACAAGGGAATGCAGGGGCTCTGTGATGTAATGTGTACATGTGGACATGCTATTTTGTAGCTTAAATGTGTTATTAATCTATCTGATATGATCCTCGTCATCATATGGCTACAGTTTTTTCTTTACCATCTTTTCTTCCTTTAAAATCAATGTAAGACAGCAACCACAGTGTGAGTAAGTAGATGATGATGATGATGATGATGACAGTCTCAGAGCAGAGATGTCCTGCGGCCATGCTGTCACCCCTGATTCTCTCACACTGTGGTGTCACAGCCAGCTGGATGAAGTATCTTATGTCTTAGACACTAGCTAAATGGTAAACAAACATGGCAGCACACCGGTAAGGTAAGACAACACGTTTACATGTCGTTTTCTATATGTTCTCTGACATTTATCCTAACGATATGAGGCGGTCTTTGTGGAAAAAAAGCTTGTTTAGTGGACTAACTTTGCACTTGAAGGTTGCCCGTTCACTTACGTTTTAACAGGTCTGACGCTACTATGCGCCCCGGCTGTATCTAGGCTAACGGCTAACATGCTAACTATTATTTCTATGTCACTAGTCACTTGAAACAAATTTAGGACGATAGGAGACAGGTTGAAATAAACCGAAATTTCCCTTTTAACAAAGATGCATCAGGAGCCATTGCTCATACTCCCTCATTTTTATGGATGGTATTGTGGCAGTCCTGGTCCTGTAGTGTTGACTGTGTAAAGGAGTGAGACTCAGGGGTAGGCATTTAAGATGCAATCAATTTAAAGGCCCAGTGTGTGGGATTTGGGGAGATATATTGGCAGAAATTGAATATATTTATAATAAGTATGTTTTCTTTTGTGTATAATCACTTGAAAATAACAAACTTTGTGTTTGTTACAGTAGTCCAGAGCAGACAAACCAAATGCTGGTTCTATATGGGCAATTCACATATTTGTGTCAGTCATCATAGTCAGCAGTCCCTCTGCCTGGTCGTTTTTTTCTGGAGAGGAAGAGACCCTTGCAGATAATTTGGCTCCTGGTAAAAATCTCCTGAAGGAATCCTAACCAGGAGAAGTTTCAGCTGGTTGTAATCTGCATTCCTCTCCAGTAGATGCCACTTAATCCCCATAAACCTTACACACTGTTCCTTCAAAGGTTAAGTCGGAGGATTTAAGCCCGGTTTCCACCAAACACTTTTGGTAGGGTGGCTTTGGAACCATAAGTAACCCTTCAGACATGGTACCTAGACCCTAGTGTTTCCACCACTAACAGTGTTCTTAAATGTGGGCGGGGTTGTTGTCACTTACTGCTCCGTCCAGCACTCACTGTATTTCCTCATTAACGGTGAACGAGGCTGCACACTGATATTTTCTGCAGTGAGAGTCTCTCTTGAAATTAATGTATTTCAAATTTCAAATCATTACTAAAAGTATACGTCATCCAAGAGAGACAATAAAAAATAATGTAAAGGTCAAAGTTGTCACAGTGAAATGTAAGGTGTGCTGATGGATTCAAGTCGACAACTCACCTGTGTGGCAGAGAAAGTGAAAAAATGGGTCTGTCTGTAATTTTTATGTAAACTCTTAATGGTTGTTGATATATACCGGATGTGACAGTCCTAGTTTAGGAGTGATTTAGGAAAGTTCTCAGAGCAACTCTGAGCAAGGAAGGGACAGAAACTTTAACCTTAGTGAGGACAAGAGGTATGATGTATTCTTTTAACAGATGTGATTGGTTGTCAAAGACACGCCCTTTTGTGAGCCTGTAAGCTGTGGACACCCAGTGGAAATGAAATCAACTGCTGACTGTGAAAGTGTTGTCAGTGTTAGTGTGATCACTCTGATGATGGAAGGTTGAGACAGACACAAGTCATCACTGCTGCACTGTTGTGTTTTTCAAGTTTTCTGTCCTAGTATTGTGACCATTGTATTGCCTTGGGTGGGTAATGTGTGCGTATCCCACATGATATCAACCACACATATTATCCCTGCATGATCTCACCTGTAGCATTTACTCATTTACACACTGTCATCCAGAGTTTGAAGAATATTTCTCTGACCTCTTTGTGTTTCCACCATTTTCTCCTCTGCTTAAAAGTCCTCCTCCCTGCTCCTAACAGTTCTTCAACTTAGGAGCTCTTTTAAGGTCTAGGATGCTCTGTGAATAACTTATTTTACAAGGACCTAGTCTTAACTCTAAGGGGAATTTGTAAAAAAGGGTCACAATTGTAAGAATTTTCTTAGAATTTTGTCACTAGGAGCAACTCTTAGTGCTAGGAAGCTTTGAGATGTTGTTTTATTGTACTGTCAGTCACTATGCAGTGAACTTTTGAGTCTCGCAGTCTACATATTACATATTGACTCTTGCACTGATGATCTTATTATGATTTTTATACCTAATATTTATAATTATGATTTTATATAGTTGTTTTATTAACTTTTATTGTATATTGCTGCATTTGTTTGATTTTATGATTTATGGATACATTGCTGCTTGTTTTTTTTTAACCATCTTGTGTCTTGTAAGGTGTCCTTGAGTGCTTTGAAAGGCGCATATAAAGAAAATGCAAGAAATTCTTTATCTACAAAGTGAAAGTGCTTGAAAAAGTTCACTTTGGATTCACAATCGATTGAGAAACATTTTGTCACTGAATAAAATCACAGAAATCTTCATGCGTTTTTAAATTTTTATTGTCTTTATTCACAATTTCAAAGTATTTGGAAATCCAGTTTTTCTTTAAAATCAGTGCTGCAACATTTCGCTGGTTATATGTGGTTGATTGATAACATAGCAGTATGTTAAACATTTTTATCAAAGTATGATTCATGTTTAAAATTTTACAAAGTTGGTGCATGTTTTAAATTCATCAAATCAGAGCTGATGTGTCTTTAAACGGAAAAAACATCATCAGAATCAAACAAAATAAAACGTTCTCTGATCACTATCACAACACATCAAAAGTCACCACAACCTCTCTGCTGGCTACAACATGTATGTACACAAGATTGGATATATATGATATTTTGTATGCCTCCGCACCATCAACAGCAGTAACCTGAGGCATTAATTTTAATTTTTCAGGTTGTCCATCTGTCCGCCTTCAGGGAATTTCTTTAAAATTGGCAAAAACATCCACAAGACATAAGTGACGACTGATTGGATTTTGGAGGCCAAAGGTCATTGTGACCTCGTAAAAAATGTTTTTGGTCATAACTCAAGAATTCATTCGCTAACTACGACAAAATTTCACACAGATGTCTGAAAGAATAAAACAAAAAAGTGATGACAGTTTATATCCAAAAGGTCAAAGGTCAGCTTCACTGTGACATCACAATGTTCTGCAAAAGGACTTACAGTATATTACTCAATGTCATATCTCAGGAACAGAAGGAGAGACGTTTGGTCAGATCCTGAATGTGAATATGAAAATACTGAAATGTGCATGCAGCACCTTTAAATAGCTCATAGGTCTACATCTTTCAGCATGATTCCTGCTCATGTTAGAAACTTTCTGCACATTCAAAACATATCTGTATTCTCTGAGAAAACTCTTTCTGCATTACCCTCCTCTCCTCCAGCCTGATGGCCTGATGCCTCATGTCTTTTCGTCTGCACATCATCCCCTTCAGTCTGTCCCATTTTCCTCTTCTTTGCATTATCAGTGTTCAGTTATCAGTTCTCCTCCACTTCTTTTAAACTCCACATTGTGTTGCTCCAAATCATTCAGCTCCTATTTTTGCAGTGCATTGTCCATCAGTGAAAAAATAAGTGAAAAAAAGGATTTAGCAATGATCAATGAATATTGCAGCTACAGCCTGAATGATTTCTTTATGTTTTGATTTAAAGGTGCTGTATGTAAGAATGTGGCCAAATGTACCAGGACACTGCTAATGCTGCTTGCCGTGCTGCTGTAGCTCAGTCGTTACTGTAACTGATGCTGAGACTCTACTGACTGTGTGACTGGTAGACGGCGGTGGGTGGCGCAACAGGCCAAAACACAAATTCAAAACATAAACATGATTTGCAGACTGCAAAAAAATTTTTTAGATGAAAATATTCTGGCTGTACTATTGTTGTTGGTGAGATCAGTATGTTATATGAACATTATTCCTTAGTCTCTGTGACATATTAGGAGGATTTTACGACTATTTGCTTTAGATTTCTTACATATAGCTCCTTTAATCTTACCTCTGTACATGAGCAGATATGCAGTCTGGGACCTGGTGAACAATAATCTAAAGTTACTGTTTGCATAGAACAACAAAAATATGACAAAACCAAGTCAACACTTCTGGAAAATGTAATAAATCTCATTCACTATTGATAATATTTAACTTACTTGTAAGTTGAGGTTTTTGCAAATGGCTGTTGTTTAACCTGCATCATTGAAAGAATGAACACTGTCAACAAATTAGCATTTCATTTCAAATCTTTCTGTTGGTTTGTTTTGAGTGTGTACAGCCCTAATGGAGTAGAGGAAGTAAAGTCCCCCTCACCTTGCTGACGTGAGCGTCATTAAACTCATACCAGGTTTTGTCCTCACTGCACAGGATGGTGGCTGTGTAATGTCCTCCTGTTAGACTGCCGTTGTGATGCACCATCCCATACAGTTTGTACTCCTTGTCCTGCAATGAAAAACACAGTCAGGAACATGGAAAGCAAACATAAGGAGCAACATTTAGATATAAATTACACATAAAAATTACTGCCTTTCTCTGTAACGTTCGTGGCACGTCCACACAGCGGTGTGATTTGAAATATGACATGGTCCTGTAGTCAAAGTCAAATCTCTTGAAGAGTAGAGTCAGAATCTGAGGATATTTCACCATCTCACATCCCTAAATAACACAAGAAAGATTATGAAACAATAAAATGATATGATTGATACGATCTCACTACAATGTTTTTATGTGATTCCAGTATTACGTTTGGCCTATTTGTGTTTTCATTTTAAGGTCAAAACTCACACTAGTTGCTTCTGTTTTCTCTTCACATTCGTTGCAGTACACCATGTTGTCTCCACTGAATGATTTCTGCTGGAAAATCCTTTCAAAGCTTCTTTCCTGTAAAAACACAAAAGAGTCCAGATTAGATTAGTGTGCTCACATTACATAAAAATACTACAGTAGAACTCTTTTGTTGTGTTTGGCTGCTTACCACGCTGTAGGTTGTATCGTGGGTATCCTGCAGTGACAGTGGAAGAGTCCAGAATGGATTCGTCTCTTCATTGATGCTGTGGCCTTTGGAGCACTCAGTTGTGTGTGTCAGCTCTCCTTGGAAAACCTTAGCATGAAAATCTCTGTCATCACACAGCATCCTGATTAGTTCACCTGTAAATAACATAGATTCTTTAAGTGCTCACCTCAGAGGCTCGTCGGCTGATCTTATTTAAAATCATCTCCAGGCATTCAGGGGCATCACGTTGTTCATGAACTGTAAATATGATACATTAAATTGAATCTATTGATTTCATCAAAGCATCTCACTAACTTTACCACTGATACGTGACTTCCTTAGTGATAAGCTCTTTGTATGTTCATTACTCTCCATCTTACCATTTGTAATCCCAAATGCTGCTGTGATAGTTTCTGTTGTACATGTCTTTCTCTTCAGTTCTTCAAAGATTTGTTTCAGCTGCTGATCTGTTTGTGAATCATGATCCAACCTTTAGGGAGAGAGCAGTTGCTCAGTGAATACTGACCACAGTATATACTGCCCATTATAACATATTTACTGATGAAGTTTTGTATATTGAAATATCCATATAAACCCAAAAGCATGACCTGCTGTTAATATTTTATACAATGTTTTTTTTTAATTGCTTTCCAAGAATATGCGCTACAGATGAAAGCAGCTGTTTCAAACCTGTCATGGATCTCTGTTGTCATGACGAGAACTTGCAGGACACTGTTGAGGTAACATGTGGCACCCTGATTATGCAGACCATGAGGAAGTCTGTGTGGCTGAGCACCTTACAAGGAAAGAAGAACACAGTGTCATTACACCATCTTTATTAATCTATTATTAATCAGTCTTTAATTGATACCTTATTATTGGGAAAAAACCCTTGATATTCAATAGCGTATAATATCATTTTTATGTGGCTCATCAAAGTGCTGTCCTACAGACACACATAAACATATCAAACAGCCACATGTTTGGTTTCCAGACATGTTATTACAGGTTGTTGAAGCAAAATATAAGCCTATCAGTATAATTTATTTACATTTTAACTGATAATTTAATTTAGTTTTAGCACTTTTTACATTAGAGCCTAGATTTTTTTTTCCTCCAACATTTAAAGGAGCATCATTTTCTTTCATTTCATGAAATTCTTCCAACTTGTCACACATGATTTTTTGTGTGACGCATCATCATGAAAAGACCTCCAAGCCCTCAGGTGCGACATACAGGAAGCAGAGAAAAGAGGAGGCGGAGGTCCCAGTATCAAAGTATGTTATCTTTTATAACATTAAAAAATGCCGTTTGACTACGAGCTACGATCGCTGCCAAGGATTGAGTTAAGCTGCTGAGCTGGTTTATTGCTGTTTGTATCTGGTTAGTCTCGCTCACCAGACCTTTCTCAAGAAAAGAAAGGTCTGGCTGGGCCGACTCTCACTTTGAGATTGGAGAAAAAAAAACGCCCCGGCTGCTTGTATTTCTTTCAACCAATCACAATCGTTCTGGGCGGTGCCACAGCAACGGTGCGCTTGCAAAAATATTGCCAGGGGGAAACAGGTTTTGATGTAACACGCCCACAAAAACATCACCTACAGGACACGAACCATGGCAGAAAAATGGCTACATCCCCGCAAGATCAAACACCGCAAAAGTTAGTAAAGGACGTGTTGAAAACTGCAACCGGAGGTGGTAGGGCGGGACTTCAGCAGGTGGCTCATTCCGCCCAGTGAGAGGCTGATCTATGCAGCGAACTTCCGCCCACTCAGACTAGTATCTGGTTAACTACTGGCTGCTTAGTGCTCCTCCTCTTACTGAGCACATTAGATACTGTGCTGAAATCTGATAACAAATAGGGACAACTGTAAAACTAATGTGTGACTATATAATTGTAGTGCAACCTCTTTTATTCTAGTAATGCATAATCACAACTAGATAATAATTGATGTTATGTTGAACACATCACTGGTGCAAGTAGTAGTCTGTCTGCTGCAGCTACATGTTTTGCTTGTACTGTACAGTCAGAGGTAAATCTACTCTACATCTGTCCAGATGCACTGAGAAAATATTTGAACAAGAAGCCCCGAGAAGCTGCTGCAGAAGTCGTGAGGTAGTGAGGTGGTGTGCTGAATCCAGCCGTGCTGCTGCTTGTTGCCTGACTTGTACTACAACTGTATTCAAACATACAGTACATCCATTCTGTTACACCACTGCTTTAAGTCTGTTATGTCATTCTGCTTCATATAAAGTAGGCACTGTACAAATAGACTTTATTTTATTTGACCTACATTTACTGTAATTAGTAACAAGGTTAAACTGGAACATTCAACAGTATTAATAATAACATTATAATAATAATATTAATAACAACAAAATTAATGATAAAAATGACAACATAGCAGAGTATCAGAGACCACAAATAATTGGCTAAACTTACATTCTTCAGCGAGTGGAGGAGATGTCAGAGAAGGCCCCTCTGCAGCAGCTTCTCTGGGCTTCTTTTTCTCAGTGCATCTGGACAGATGTAGAGTAGATTTACCTCTGACTGTACAGTACAAGCAAAACATGTAGCTGCAGCAGACAGACTACTACTTCACTGGTGCAGTGATGTGTTCAACATAACATCAATTATCTAGTTGTGATTATGCATTAATAAAATAAAAGAGGTTGCACTACAATTACATAGTCACACATTAGTTTTACAGTTGTCCCTATTCATTATCCAATTTCAGCACAATATCTAATGTGCTAAGGGAGGAGCACTAAGCAGCCAGTAGTTCACCAGATACAAACAGCAATAAACCAGCCCAGCAGCTTAACTCAATCCTTGGCAGCGATCACATTATCTACAGTAGCATTATTAGACAACTTTGCTTTATTTCAACTTCGCAAGCTGCTAGCTCGTAGTCAAACGGCATTTTTTAATGTTATAAAAGATGACATACTTCGATACTGGGACCTCCGCCTCCTCTTTCCTCCGCTTCCTGTATGTCACACCTGAGTCTTTTCATGATGATAACACAATAATTTGATGAATAATGACCTCTTGTTGTCTGTCAGTCACAACCCCTACCTACCTGAGATGCGCACAGATAACTCGTCCCATCCCCCTCTCCCACAGTGACGTGACTGAGCACGGTGTGGGACAGGTTCAGGGCCAAATAATGACAAACAACAGGGGGGTTGTTGTTGTTGTTGTTGTTTACTTTTTCTTTATTTGTTATTTTTTTCAAGACAGAGTATGAGGAAAGGGCGCCAGTCGGGGCTGCAAATTATTATTAGTATTTATTTTATTTTATGTATTCTATTTTATTTTATATTTTTGAGGGCTTGCAGCTGCGCTCCCGCCAGCATGTGGTGCCCTAGGCGACCGCCTATATGGTCTATGCCAAGAGCCGGCCCTGGACTTAAATTTGCATCTCATATGTTACATTTCAGAGAAGTGAGCAATACTTACCATAACCCCACAAAAAGGTAGAAACGCTCTGCAATCTCCTCCTTAGTGCAGCACCTGATTATAAACAAAAATAATTTACTGTCAGAAACTTGGAAACATATTTGGCTGAATGAAATATGAGAGGTGAACATTAAAATTACTAAGTGATCAAAAGTCTATGGTATATATTCTATAGTATATATTTATATGTCAGCATTTTCACTTCTATATTTATCAAACCATCAATGAGCTGTCTCACATCAAACCTCAGTGTTTAATCTCACGTAATACATTTCAGAGAAGTGAGCAATACTTACCATAACCCCACAAAAAGGTAGAAACGCTTCGCAATCTCCTCCATAGTGCAGCACCTGATTATAAATAAAAATAATTTACTGTCAGAAACTTGGAAACATATATTTGGCTGAATGAAATATGAGAGGTGAACATTAAATTTACTAAGTGATCAAAAGTCTATGGTATATATTCTATAGTATATATTTATGTATCATGTCAGCATTTTCACTTCTATATTTATCAAACCATCAATGAGCTCTGTCTCACATCAAACCTCAGTGTTTAATCTCACATAATACATTTCAGAGAAGTGAGCAGTACTTACAGAACTTCCAAATTGCATTTTTCATAAAGACAAATGGTCTTGGTATTTGTCTTATTATTATTTTCAGCAGGTGCAGCATCTGGATATAATCAAAAATAATTTACTGTCAAAAATCTGGAAACCTATTTGGCTGAATGAAATTTTAAGGGTGAACATTAAAATTACTAAGTGATCAAAAGTCTTATAAATGTAGAATTCTTTTGTAGTGGATGTTTAACATTAGGTCGAAAGGCATGGTGTTTTAATGAGCAAAACTAATTTCAACAAAAAACAATATATCTCTATCTGTCTCTCTATCTCTATTTCTATCTGTCTCTCTATCTCTATCTGTCTGTCTCTCTCTGTCTCTCTCTATTTCTCTGTCTCTCGCTCTCTCTCTCTCTATCTATCTATCTATCTGTCTGTCTATCTATCTATCTGTCTCTATCTGTTTGTCTATCTCTATCTCTCTGTCTCTCACTCTCTCTCTATCTATCTATCTATCTATCTATCTATCTGTTTGTCTATCTCTATCTATCTATCTATCTATCTATCTCTATCTAAATCTATCTGTCTCTATCTGTCTCTCTATCTCTATCTCTATCTGTAAATCTATCTGTCTCTATCTGTCTCTCTATCTCTATCTATCTCTATCTGTCTCTATATGTCTCTCTATCTCTATCTGTATCTGTATCTCTATCTGTCTCTATATGTCTCTATCTCTATCTGTCTCTATATGTCTCTCTATTTCTCTCTGTCTATCTCTATATATGTCTCTATATGTCTCTCTATCTCTATCTGTATCTGTATCTCTATCTGTCTCTATATGTCTCTATCTCTATCTGTCTCTATATGTCTCTCTATTTCTCTCTGTCTATCTCTATATATGTCTCTATATGTCTCTCTATCTCTATCTGTATCTGTATCTCTATCTGTCTCTATCTGTCTATCTCTATATCTGTCTCTATATGTCTCTCTATCTCTGTCTCTCTATCTCTATATCTGTCTCTATCTGTCTCTATCTGTCTCTGTCTCTGTCTCTGTCTCTCTCTCTCTCTCTCTCTCTCTCTCTCTCTCTCTATTGGCCAGTCTCAATCGGAATGACAGCTTGCAAAGCTTTTTTTCTTCTTCTTTTGGTTGGCGGATTGCAAACAATTTAAAGCTGCATACCGCCACCTACTGTACAAGAGTGTGCAACATCATGTCATTTAGCCTGTTTCTTAAATTCTACTCATCAGCCTAGTGCACTTGCAAAGCAACATGGGAGTTCTGTAGTTCACAGGGAATTCAGTGCGGGAGCTGTGGCGGAAATCAATTCTGAAACCGAAGTTTTTCGGGCTCCAGTTTCCAAAAAAAAAATCATCCACACGAGTGGTGTGATTAAAAAAATATGATATTTACACAAAACTCACTACCAAGTGATGTAATACACATGCCAAAGTGGTAGGTGGCGATGTAACGTCTAACGGAAAGGTCATTTGAACCAGTCAGAGTCAATACCAGAATAGGCAAGTGCGGAAAATAAAAACAACCCGATCCACAAAAACAGCACGACCTAATTCAACAGCAGAGGTGCCTGAACCGACCCGGCCAGATTCAGAACCTCTGTTGGCAGGCCCGTCGCTGCTTTCGTGGTAGTGTAGTTGGGGTAGCTAGCAACAGGAGCAGCCTCCTTTGTTGGTCGTTAGGTCGAGCAGCTGGATATGCCGTCCAAAGAGAGCAGATAGCATGCTCACAAATAAAGTAGTCAATCAATCAATCAATTTTATTTATAAAGCCCAATATCACAAATCGCAATTTGCCTCAGAGGGCTTTACAACATACAACATCCCTCTGTCCTTATGACCCTCACAGCGGATAAGGAAAAACTCCCCAAAAAAACCCTTTAACAGGGAAAAAAAACAGTAGAAACCTCAGGAAGAGCAACTGAGGAGGGATCCCTCTTCCAGGATGGACAGACGTGCAATAGATGTCGTACAGAACAGATCAGCATAATAAATTAACAGTAATCCGTATGACACAATGTGTGTGTGTGTGTGTGTGTGTGTGTGAGTGTGTGAGACAGAGAGAGACAGAGAGAGAGAGATGCAGGTAATGACAGTAGCTTACAACAACATTAATGAAAGTAATAATATTATAGTGATAGTTCTGGCTACTGTGGTACAATATGTTGAAAGTATGTATTAATATCTGGCAGTATACATGTGTGACAATAGTCATATGTGTATAATAACAGTAGAAGTATGACTAATGACTAATGATGGCAGCAGCAGCAGGAGGCATCTGGCAGGACCACGGCAGCAGCACAACCACACACGTCACGCTGTCCAGGCACCGCTGTGATATGAGTTAATCTGAGAGACAGTGGAGCACAAAGGCTCCGGAGAAGAAGCCGAGTTAGTGACATCCAGAATGGCCGAGTTAGCAAGATGCAGTAATAGAATACGAGAGAGAGAGAGAGAGAGAGAGAGAGAGAGAGAGAGAGAGAAGGAGAGAAGGTGCCCGGTGTATTATAGGGGGGTCCTCCGGCAGACTAGGCCTAAGTCAGCCTAACTAGGGGCTGGTACAGGGCAAGCCTGAGCCAGCCCTAACTATAAGCTTTATCAAAGAGGAAAGTCTTAAGTCTAGTCTTAAATGTGGAGACGGTGTCTGCCTCCCGGACCGTAACAGGAAGATGATTCCACAGGAGAGGAGCCTGATAGCTGAAGGCTCTGGCTCCTGATCTACTTTTGGAGACTTTAGGGACCACGAGTAACCCTGCGTTCTCAGAGCGCAGTGTTCTGGTGGGATAATATGGCACTATGAGCTCTCTAAGATATGACGGAGCTTGACCATTTAGAGCTTTATAAGTTAACAGTAGGATTTTAAATTCAATTCTGGATTTTACAGGGAGCCAGTGCAGAGAAGCTAAAACAGGAGAAATATGATCTCGTTTCTTAGTTCCTGTTAGTACACGTGCTGCTGCATTCTGAATTAGCTGGAGAGTTTTTAAGGACTTACTAGAGCTACCTGATAATAGAGAGTTACAGTAATCCAGCCTTGAGGTAACAAAAGCGTGGACCAATTTTTCTGCATCTTTTCGGGTCAGGATAGGCCTAATTTTCGCAATATTACGCAGATGAAAAAATGCAGTCCGTGAGGTTTGCTTTAAATGAGAATTAAAAGACAAATCTTGATCAAATATTACTCCGAGGTTTCTTACGGTAGTGCTAGAGGCCAGAGCAATGCCATCTAGAGAAACTATGTCATCAGATAAAGAGTCTCTGAGTTGTTTGGGGCCAAGAACAATAACTTCAGTTTTGTCTGAATTTAACATCAGGAAATTGGTGCTCATCCAATTTTTTATGTCTTTAAGGCAGTTATGGAGTTTAGTTAATTGATTACTTTCTTCTGGCTTCATCGATAAATACAACTGTGTATCATCCGCATAACAATGGAAATTTATAGAGTGATTTCTAATGATGTTACCTAAAGGAAGCATATATAGAGTAAATAGGATTGGTCCGAGCACAGAACCTTGCGGAACTCCAAAACAAACTTTGGTACGTAAGGATGATTCATTACGAACGTCAACAAATTGAAAACGATCAGATAAATAAGATTTAAACCAGCTTAGTGCTGAACCTTTTAGGCCAATTAAGTGATCCAGTCTCTGCAGTAGAATTTGATGGTCAATTGTGTCAAACGCCGCACTAAGATCTAATAAAACAAGAACAGAGACGAGTCCTTTGTCTGAAGCAATCAGAAGGTCATTTGTAATTTTAACTAGTGCTGTCTCAGTGCTATGATGCACTCTAAATCCTGACTGAAATTCCTCAAATAAATTATTATCATGGAGAAAATCAAACAGCTGGTCTGCGACTACTTTCTCAAGGATCTTTGACAGAAAGGGAAGATTAGATATTGGTCTATAGTTGGCTAACACCTCTGGATCCAGGGTGGGCTTTTTTAGTAGAGGTTTAATTAAAAGGTAGTGTGACATATAGGGTATTTATGTGTATCTGCTCACTCTGTAGTGACCCTTCTCCTATCCAAAAAAAGGCCACCACAACGGTTGCCGTGTGAGGTAATTTGTGACGCGTGCAATGCAATCACAGACGATATTTCCAATGTTCCAATATTGATTTATTACTTTGATTCAGTTCAGGTACAGCCATTTGTCACACATAAACCAAAAATAAGCGAACAAAATAACTCGACTGTCGCCTCCACAGCGCCTGGTGCATGCAGCACGGTCAAAAAACTTTTCGTCTCCACACAGCAACACCTGTGTGTGGTTACACCGTGATTATATAAACTCTGGCGCTTCCCAATTGCCAGTACCACTACTCCCTCAAGTGGTGGGAGTGTAACAAAAAATACAAATACACATTTAATACAAATGGCTCTCACACACTCAATTGTGACATTATTTTATGCATATATCGATTTTGTATCTTTACAGATACCATACAGATACCCCCCATTCAATTTAAAGCATAACTGATTTGAGTAAAGGCACGAGAGCAAATCTGGGTGAATAATTGGTTGGTTCTTCAGTTGGCAGTTACACCTAGAGTGAAGCTACTGAAGACCAGCAAAATCACTGTTTGTTTTCATTTATTCTTTCAGGTGGGTAAATGTCACCTAAGCACCTTCAGATTTTATCAGTAGTGTACCCTTAATAGATAATTTGTTTATATAGTTTGTATTGTGCTTCGTGATATTGTTTGAGGGAACTGTAACGTAAGGTAACTGCATACTAGTGGATGCAACCATCACTAATGCTAGCGTAGTTCCTCAGGGATTTAAGCTGTTATTACTTTCATTTTGACACTCTAACCTGTGACATCACATTAGCTAAGGTTGTAAGGACTGTAACTGTTGGCAGCTGTTGTTGAATTTGTTTAAATATGTTGAATTATATTTTTATGGGTTATTGTTTGTCGGACGATTGAGCTAAGCTAACTGATGCTAACGTCAGCTGTCACTTGTTGTCATAGCAACGGTAAACATTCACATAGGGGCTAGAGTGCAGAATCAAGCTTCATTGTAAATATAGTTAAGATACATTGTATTTAACACAGAATGTGGGATTTTAGTAGTTGGTAAACTTTTAGGAAAGAGCTATTTACCATTACTCTGACGTCAAACAATGGAGACAGGTAATGAAATACTGCGGTTATCCTATCTACACGCAGCCGCTGGCACCGGTCTCTTCCAAAAACTTCACCCTGGACTCCGGTTTCAAAGAAACGCGGTTTCGGGGTCCCAGAAGTGTGGTTGCTTGTGACCAAACAGCCACATTGCATAGAATAATACACGGTTTCAGAAGTACACGGGTCCGTGTAGATTAGGCCTAATAATAGCAAGAACTGGTGCATGTAGATTGCTTTAGCCAGGGCAGAACTATTCGACAGCATAACGGTCAGTACCGTCGATGCCCCGGGGTGTAGCAGTAATGCCGACTGTCGAGCGTTTCCAGTGGGAGAGAGGGAATCGTGGGTGTAGCCCGCTCTGTATGTATGGAGCCACGTCAAACCCACCAATAGAAACTCTTCTCTCATCCATCAGCGTAGGCCCCGCCCATTAAGTGCAGTTGAACTTGTAAGCAAAACTTTAACTTGCAAGCAAAGAGGACTGATTTATAAGCAAAATGATCATACGTTTTTACTTACAAACTTGATTTTTGATTGCAGTTCAAGAAATATGCTGTCAAAACAGTTTTATATGATTGCAACAAAAAGACACAAAAATACCCCCATGGAAAGACAGATGCTGAAGGTCTGAAGCAAAAAGATAGAACAGAAAAGGAGAAGAACCAGGAAGTGAGTTCTAAAAAAAAACACAGGGAGAAAAAGAGCATGTAGAAGAAGTCCAGGAAAACAGTGAAGGTGAGAAAGGGAATGAAGGAGGAGAGGAAGTGGTTGAAGTTAATGAAGACAGTGAGGGTGAGGAGTGGATGATGCTCAGTTTGAACCTGAGACACAGAGCAGAGAAGCATGTGATAGTGATGTGAATACTCAGAGAGATGGCAGTTCTACTGTAAAACAAGTACGTGAAGTGGCAGATAGAGGAAGAGAGGCTGGAGCAGAAGAAGAGCTGACAGGAGGTGTTGAGATGGGGGGGAGGAGGAAGACTTTTTATTTTATATATTTTGGTGGAGATTTTAATTGTACTGTAGACAGCAAGATAGACAGGAACCACGCTGAGCCTCATGCAGTCTCTTGCAGTTGTTTGCGTCATGAGTTGTGTGATGTGTGGAGAGGTTTTCATAATGCACAGAGACAATATACATGGACACATGTAAGAGAGGTCTCTGTCTATGGCCAAGCTTGATCGGTTGTATTGTTTTAAACATCATTTTAATGTTTTTAAAGATTGTTGTATTTCCCTGTTGGTTTTTCTGATCATTCACTGGTAAGAGCGACTGTTTTTATTAAATGTGTCAAACCTAAAAGTGCCTACTGGCATTTTAATACAGTGTTGTTAGAAGATAAATGTTTTAGAGAAGCTTTTGTCCTTTTTTGAAAAAATCATCAGAATTTGAAATCTGAGTATACGTCGTTGCAGCAGTGGTGGAATGTTGGAAAGGTCCAAATAAAACAATTCTGTCAACAATACACTGTGAATGTCACCAAAACCTTACGAAGTTCGATAAAAAACCTGGAGTCTGAAGTGGAGGCACTCCAAGAGTTAGCTGAAACCAAAAGAGACTGTCAGCATACTGAGAAACTTTTTGAGAAAAAAAAAATCTGTTTTAATCAACCTGTTAGGTATTTCAGCTAAGGGGGCTCTGGTTCGGTCCCGTTTTCACCTGAAATGGACGTCACGTCACAATTTTCCTTTGGTCTGGAGCGTAAGAATGGACAGAAGAGGTTCATTCTCAGTTCTGACACTCGACAACTGCTGACTGACCATGGTGAGATTCGAAGGTATGCTGTCAGTTTTTACGGTAACTTGTTTCAAAGTGAATATAGGGAGGAGCGAGCAGTGTCTGAGAGTTTTTACGATGGTCTCCCTCAGGTTGAGCAGCAAAGTAATGTTAAGTCGGAAGCAGCTCAGTCCTCAGTTGAACTTTACCCTGCTCTGCAGAGTATGCAGAGTGGGAAAGTTCCCGGGATTGATGGTTGATCGTGCTGACACACTTGAAAGAGTGCGTGAACGGCTTAAGGAGTTCCAGAGAGAGGAAGTACAATCCACTTAACAATATTATGTTTAAACGTTAACCAGACAGTACTCAGGTGCTGAAGATTGATGTCAAATGGTAAATAAGTGGATACAACCTATTTTTACTATATAGTACCATATCCAATTGGTGTAATTTTCACCACCAATAATTTGTTTAACCTATGTGTGTTTTACTTAACAAGATAACGGTTCACTACAGACTTTTCTTTCAATGACGTAGAAATTAAGACACTCTATCTCAGTGCATAGGGCTAGGATTACCTTCAGGCCCCTCCTAGTGGTGGGTTACTGTCCACTAGGGATGGGAATTGATAGGATTTTATTGATATCAATGCCATTATTGATTCTGCTTATCGATCCGATTCTTTATCAATTCCCTTATCGATTCCTCCTGTGAGTTAATGATATCACCTCCTGTTGTTTGTAACCCAAGACATCTGCTTTCATAACGTTTTATTATGAACCTTAAAGCCATGGTCTAGTTTGATGAGAAAGATTTGAAAAAAAGCACGCTGTCCAACCACACATAAACACTAACAGCAGCTTTCACAGTCATAAGCCAGCATTGGCATACAGTTATCTATGTCACAACAACAGCCACAATGAGTGTCATTAATGTTACTGCTAGCTGGTGATCTAGAGATAAATCCCAGCCCACAGCCTGAGTGTGTCAACACCACGCAGCTAGTGCAGCTAACTCAGGTGAGGCAGCTAACGCAGCTAGCCTAGCATATCATAACAATGAATGGCGTGCAAATCAACTCAACTGCCCTCATCTTACCATCCTTGGTGTTCCCATGAAATCCGACAACAGCGTCCTGGCCACTGTCTACCTGGTGCGGGGACACGCCGAGACTCCACAGTTGCTAGCAGCTCCAGAGAGGCTAACAACAGTGTGAAGTGATGCCATGGCTTTGACTGCTTCTGTCCCTCCGCCATTACGTCTTCTTTGTTGTTGAACATGCTGCTGTCTGACGAGCATAGATCCGGCGTAATGAAAAGAATTGATAAGGGAATCGTTAAGCATAAAGGCTAATGATGTCGATGAATTGAACCAGTTGGAACCGGTTCTTAACAGGAACCGGTTCTCGATTCCCATCCCTACTGTCCACTGAGCAAAGGCTTAGTGGGTCAAAGTGTGACCACATCAGTGGAAGTCTTTTTTGTTTTTCATGTTTTTTATAGGTTTTTGGTAAGTTCTTTCTCTTTAGTAATGATGATATTACAAGTTGTTGTTCCCACACAAAAGTTGCCAACCTCAGTGAAGACATAATAAAGGAGTTGTGTATTGTGATTATAAAGTAGTGTAAATGTCAGCGGGCTCACTAATCCAATTAAAAGTAACAAAATAATGACTAAAATGAAGAGGGAGAAAAAACAAATTAGATTTTTCCATTTTTCCACTTATCTCAAAACAAACATGAAATATTGAAGAAATTTGAATCCGCTGAAAAAGGCACAAAACAGAAAAGTTTTCTCATCTGCCTCCACTCCACTCCGTGCTGTGTGCCGGCTATGTGTGATCTACTGTGCAGTCGGCAGAGACCCTGCCCCCACTAAACACCCAATCACTATTTAGTATGCAAATGAGCCAAGATGCATCGGCGTCAGGTTTCTCAGTCCTCAGTCAGTACGTTTACATGCACAGCTTAATCGAGCTATGCTCAAAATTCGATTTTGGCGTCTAATCGGACTTCTGTCCTTGTCCCAGTTTACATGCAACTGAGAAAATTGAATTACTGACGGGAACGTGTCCTCCTCCTCAACACTAGGTGGCGATATGCGTCGTTTCAGCAGGTTAATATGGCCCCCTTTCCGGTTGACCTATTACGTCACTTAATAATAAACAACTGGAGTCAGGCAGCAGACCGGCATTTTCTAACAACAGCAAGATGGATAATCGTACAGCTTTGTTCATCTTGTACTTAATGTACGCGTTACTGATTGTGCAGATAAGGTGCATGCTATCCCTCGTGGTCATGGTGATTTCGAGAGGCAGACAAGAACGCTGTATGCTGTTGGAGGGCTACAACAATAGCATGTCTTGTCTGTTCTGGGGTCATACGCCAGCGCGGTGGATGTGGAGCATGCGCACATGCATTGTCTAGTTTAACTCAGATGAAGGCGTATACATGACAGAGAGAATGGAATTCCAATCGCATTATCTGGGTGTCTTAATCGGAGTTGGAGAACTCCAATATTAGTCGGAGTAACGTGTTTACATGCACTTCAGTTGTCCAGTTATAGTCGGGTTAAGGCAATAATTCATTTTTTTCAAGTGTCATGTAAATGTAGGCCTACTGATTGAGGCAGAATGCAGCAGTAAAGTGAAGCTCCGTTAAACTTGTCGTAGCGTCTTGTGTCGTAAAATACTAAATATATAGTTAATATATATAGCATATAGTTATAATATAATGTAGTTATAGTGAGTGAGCGAGCAACCGCCCGCCCACAAAGTATGTTCACGAATAGATTACTTTCTTATATATAATACTGACAGACACAGAGTGCAAGAATGCACCATTGGTCCCATGGATGTGTCAGACCATTCACCAATTTACTTAATTCTTCATTTTGACAGCAACCCTAGGAAAACAAGTTTGAGACTAAATACAAGCTTGCTTAATAATAACATGGTTATTGCGCAAATTAAAGCTGAAATTAAGACATATATAGAACTTCATGATAATGGCGAGGTGGACCCAACTATGCTTTGGGATGCATTAAAAGCTGTCATTATGGGAAAAAAATCATCGGCATCAGCTCTGTAATAGGAAGGCAAAAGAACATAAACTTAAAACATTAGAACAGAAACTTGAATATTTAGAGAGAGGCCATAAAGAATGTTGGGATTCACAGGACCACAGATGATTTGTCATTTGTTAAAATCCAAACTGGACATGTGAAGGCTTTTCTTCTCTGCATGCTCTCTGTTCTTCAAACAAAGACAGCTATTTGACACTTGTCTCCACAGGAGGTCACCTCACACCTCCTAGTGAGACCAGTCGTCAAGCTTGATTGGACAGTACTGTTACAGTAACATGCCCCTCTGTGATGTCACCAGCAAAACTCTAAGATAAGTCCCACGTTAGCCCCTTTTCCACCAACATTTCCAGGAACTTTCATTACCAGAAATTTGTTTACCTGGGTAAAATAATTCCTGGTAATCTGTGTGGTTTGCGTTTCCACCGCACCTCCAAGTTCTGGAAAATGTATTCAAATTAGCGTGATGATGTAGATGATTTGGCGTGTGTCCTGTATTTGGCTCCGCCAGCTTGGCTGGCTACATGCTGGTGTAGAGAGTTGGGGCTGTTTGTCTCAGCCAGCAGCTATGTTTAAAAGTATTTTAAGATAAGTGTCAAACTACATTAGTCTATATACAGACAGCTGTCATCTGAGCTTATTAGTAACAATTTTCTATCAGCTGAACTAACGTGCTGTCCTTGTGTAACGTCAGTGTGTTGGTGGATGAGAGACTGTGGACAGAGCATATTGAATATCGCTGTCTACATGTTTACATGTTCAGGCTTGCTGAACACATGTATTGATTAAGTATTGGCTTCTTACTCCCTAAGGGTTAATGTCACTTACAGTAACGAGTGTAGCTGCCGTCAACTCGAGTCATTTTCCAGTTATCTTCACTTTGTTTCCACTGCGGCTGCTCGACTGTTCAGCGGTTACCATGTCGTGTAGGCGTGTGTGTGGATGTGAAGGAGTTCAGCGCCGGCACAAAAGAGCCGATACCGTTAGCACTTATCTGTACTACGGTCTTTGATAATTTAGTCCCGGGGCTAATTTAGTTCCAGGTTTCGGTACCCATCCTTTATCAAAACAGAAACATGGAGTGGAGCTTGTAGAAATGAAATAAAGTTTGCAGTGGCTGCCTGTGCCAGGAAGTGCGGAACGCTGCGTGTGTGTTCCACCGACCGGCATTCCTCGGCAAACAGCCCCGCCCCTCAAGAATTACTGGTAATCTGAAAAGTCCTACCCCCCTACTAGGTACTTTTTTCAGGGAAAGTTTGGGGTTGAGGGAAAGTTTTTTCCCTGAATAATTTTGGTGGAAACGCTCTGAGGCTTTTCAAAAGCCCGGGTAAATGAGAAAAGTTCCTGCAGTGTTAAAGGGGTTATTCTCTCAGTCTCTCTTTTTCTGCTGGCCCTGGACCAGCCCAGATGCTCTCTTGCTTGTGAGATGCCGAGCAACTCACATCACCTCTGACAAATCCAGAGGTAGAACATACTCGGGCAGAACTTATGCGGAACGGACTCTGTGGAGGTCCGCAAGCCCTGTGCGCGCAAAGCACAAGGCCCGAACATACTCGGGTGTACTATAAGCGGAGCGGACTCCGCGAGGACTGTCCGCTGTCATTTGGGCTTCCACAGTCAAACGCACTTCCGCGTTGTAGTTTCCTGTAAAAATGTCCGTGAAAAATCCCTGCGATGTGAAAAATACATGCCGAGCAATCACTGGTGCGCGGAGCGGAGTCCGCTCGGTCGTAAAATCTGAGCTTTGTGTGCACAAGGCTTGCGGACGTCCGCTTTGAGTCCGCACGGACCTCCGCAGAGTCTGCACCGCGTACGTTCCACCCGAGTATGTTCGGGCCTTCAGATTTTACGACCGTGCGGACTCCGCTCCGCGCACCAGTGATTGCTTGGCATGTATTTTCACATCGGGGGATTTTTCACGGACATTTTTACAAGAAACTACAGCGCGGAAGTGCGCTCGACTATGAAAGCCCGAATGACTGCAGACATTCCTCGCGGAGTCAGCTCTGCTTATAGTAGGCCTACGCCCGAGTACGTTTGTTCACTTAGTCAAGGATAAAGTATCAGCGTAAGCACACACAGAGAGAGAGAGGGAAAAAACACGACTTGTCGACTCCTCCTGGGGGGTGTCGAGTTGTGTCACTGACGTCGACGCATCGACAAATCCACTTTTCTGTTCATGCTCTAGTTCACACACAGAACTTTTTCTTTATACTTTTAATAATTAAATAATTAATTTTAGTAATCGAAGAAGTGCCATATGGAAGAATCCTCCAGACCCCCCAACAGAGGTCTGGGCTTAGCCCCAAATGTCAGCAAATCCTAGGAACACCCCTGCGTACACCTGACCTGTGCAGAGCTGCTGCAATTGGATTTCTCTCTTGGCAAGGATGACTAAAGACAGCGAATGTTGAACTGTTGCAAACAGGCAATTAATTTATTACATATACTGATAAAAACAATTAATGTTTGTTCATTAACTGGCCACTGGCCTCCTGTCATTTTGCAAAAGTGGCTCTCAGGAAAAGGAAGTTGGGAATCCCTTGTTGAACCCCTGGTTTGTGGCATGCAGCCTGGTCCAGGAGGGGGCGCTATCTCGCCAATTAATTATACTCACTCCTCAACTGTATTCAACAGGTGACACCGCAGGAAACATTTAGATATTTAATAGAAAATTCAGCATCAAAAACAACTGAATGATTGTCCCAACAAGAAGTAATGCAGTTAAACAGAAGCAAAACAGTGTCGAGTTAGTTTTTTAATTTGATTTTTAATGTTAGATTTGATTATAATTTCGTTAATGTTTCCGTGCTCGTGCCACTTTAACATACGAGTCCTTCCTTTGTTCATAATATGATTTTTTTATACATTTGGTTCTCGGTTGGATCTCTGTCTGAATTAGTTTTCCTTTAATCTCCGTGCTTTCTTTAACCTCATCAGACCCTCTACTGTCCGTGAACTACATATTCCACAGTAGCCTTAGTTGTTCTTCACATAGCTGCTGCCTGCATCATTTGGACAAGCACTGACAGTAGTGTCGCAAAGGAATCAGTCTCAGAAATTACTTGACGGCATATTAAGGTGGCCCTGGTTTATTGTAAGGAACCTCGCTGCAAGGCATAAGGCAGCACTGAATCTTCCTTTTTTAATTTTATTTAATTTTTATTTAGTCTTGTTCTTGTTTTTTTACCTGCTGACAAATACATTT